TTTTGAGAAGGAAAACAACTCCTTTGCTCTTTTGCCATTAGAATTTGAAATCCATCTCCACTATATAAATCAATAATTTGTGTGTGTGATGGGATTACTCCTGAGATATTAATGAATAGTTTTTCAGTTAAGAGTCACTAATACAGATAACAAAAAGAGGAGAAAAATGAAATATAGCAGCAAATCCTCAACTGATGTAAACGGGAATAGCTTCATTGACTTCAACGAAACCACGATAAATTATATCAGTTGAATACCTGACAAGTCAAAGTAGGGAATCAATGTAACAGGCCTTCTTAGATCAGGCTTCTGCCAGTTAAAATAAGTATCCCTAAATCTAGTGTTTCAAGTAGTGGAATACATAGCCCTGAATAACTTTTAGTAGAAGAAACAAAAGGCATGCTTATGAATAGCAAACAGCTACATACCTAGAACTGCATGCCTGCAGATGACTATGCAGAATAAATTCTCCTGCATCCTCACATCTTTCTATATATGAATAATAGATTAAATAAAGCTGTTAAATCTTTAAATGTTGCAAATACCTAAACAGTAGTAATTCTACAGTATATGGAGATGCTATTTAGATACAAAATATCAGCTAATCTCCTCAAGGTTTATTATAGACTACTTGCTAGCACCTGTAAATGAAGTTTATGGACAGTGGAGATGGCAAAGAGCTGAATTTGTTTAAGATCTGAAATGTAGGATTACAGTTTGAAAATGTAGCTAACCTGTTAAATATGAAGGGGCATATACACACATAGTCTGTGTACTGCACTTTGATTATAGGCAGCTCTGTACAAAATAGAAAAGACTGTATTTAAAATTGAACCTTCTGATCTAACTGTTCATTGTCTCATATCTTTCCACTTGTTCTTCCCCCTTTTCTACTTAAATTGGAAAACTTGTTTTTTTCTTTAACACGTTTGACAATCCTAACTTACATCTGGCATTTCTGAAATCAGCACTTATATTACATGTAGGCAGGCTTCCTGGCAACAGTGTTTTTTCTGTCTCTCAGTTTTAACTGTACTCCACTAGTGCTTTTGTCTCCTTTCTTCCTATTTTTTCTTGTCGATTTCCTTCATCCTTTTCTCTTGACTGTTGTTCTCTTCATCTTTTCCAGGATCCTTTGCTTACTCATAACATTGTAATCTTCCTCTCCTTACCCTTTTCTTCCTCAACTCCTTTTCCCCAAGTTGTTACACTTTGATCCCAGTCCTGTGACATCAAACACAATGGCATCTTAAGGGGAAATTATATCCATAGGGGGTTATTTTAGTTTAGTAATTCACTTCTAATAGCTGGCATGAATGAAGTCTTCCCAAAGGACTGCATTCAGTAGCTTATAGTGGGTTGATATTTCTGTAAGCCATGCTGGCATTACATTGCCATTTCAGCCACAAGGTGCACAAGATTGCCTACTAAAGAGGGAGGGCAAGAGGTTGTTAGAGCTGCCCTCCAAAAAGAGAGAAAACTGGCAGATTTGCAACATATCCACCAGGATTTAGCAACTTAATGTCAGTAATTTTCTACCACATAATTCAAAGAAAACAAAAATACCTGCAAACATAACATCCATAATGAATTCTTTACTGTGTGAAATACAGTTCTAAGGGCAATGGTGAAAGCCCAGTGCTTTGGACTTTTAAAAGAGAAATGGACAAAACACTACCAAATGTGCTGATAGGAAAATCTTACTTGATCTAAACCTCTATTCCACTTCACACTTTTAAGGTTTCACTGAGTAATTTTCATTCAGCTCCTTTCTCATAATACAGGAAACAATGGGACATTGTGAAATTAAGAAACTACAATTTTAAAAATGAATGAGAAGAAATACTTTTTTTCCATACAAATTACAATTCACCTGTGAAATGTATGGCTCGGGGAAAGGCTGAGATGGAGAGTTCAGTACAAAATTTAAAAGTAGACCTGGATATGAACAACCAGGACTTTTGCAGCTGTGATATCTAGTTCATATAGTTACAGTGGCTCTCAGCTATGGGTCCTCATGCTTAAGGCCCTAAAATGGTCACCGGATGGGATCTATTTAGGAATTGTCTCTGTCCCTTCCAATAATATCGCGGTGTGTAATTGGCCCAATGCAACATAGTCCTATTGCCATGATCGCATCTCCTAAACCATGAAGCTAGAGGATGGACTAGTTTCCAGTTGAGCAATCCCTAGCAGATGTGGCTACGGATGCAAAGGATGGGCTAATTCACAGCAACAACATCGCTCTCCAGCATCTCTGGAGAAGGGAGGGGGAGGCTGCAGCGTGACCGACCGACAGCCAGGGAAGCCAAATGGCTCCTCTTTCTGTTTTAACAAGAGCCCCTGGCAGTAGGGCACGTCCTCAGCGGGCTCTCAGCATCAGGCAGGGCTAATCCCATTCCCTGCAGACACCGGGGTCCCCATCTCTGAGGTGTCCCACGCTGGGCTAGAGGGACCGGGCTCTAGCGGTTAGAAACGGAGGAACTAGAAGTCAGGACTCCTGGGTCCCTTGGCTGCTCTTCCCCCTGACTTGCCTTGGGAAGGTCCCTTCCCCCTCCGTTCCTCAGTTTCCCCCCGCAGCCAAGGGTGAGCCCGGGTGTCCCTGCAGACACCGGGGTCCCCATCTCTGAGGTGTCCCACGCTGGGCTAGAGGGACCGGGCTCTAGCGGTTAGAAACGGAGGAACTAGAAGTCAGGACTCCTGGGTCCCTTGGCTGCTCTTCCCCCTGACTTGCCTTGGGAAGGTCCCTTCCCCCTCCGTTCCTCAGTTTCCCCCCGCAGCCAAGGGTGAGCCCGGGTGTCCGGC